TCATGCCTATTGTTCTGGCTAGGAATTCCAGAACTATATTGAAAAGGAGCTGAGAGAGTATATACCCTTGACTTCATCATGATTTTAGGGGAAATGATTTTAGTTTTTCCCTGTTGAGAGTGATATTAGATGTTGGTCAGTCATATATAGTCCTTATTATTTTAAGGAATGATCCTTCTAATCCTAGCTTTTCCAAAGATTTTAACATAAATGCATGCTGTATTTTGTCAAAGATTTTCCTCTATTAGGATGATTATGTGGTTCTCGTCTTTGTTGACATGGTGAATTACATTTATTGATTTGTACATGTTAAATCAGAAATGCATCTGTGCAATGTAGCCTACTTTACATCTGTGTTCTTCAGAGAAATTGGTCTGTAGTTCTCTTTTTTTATTGGATCTCTACCTGGTTTTGTGACGAGTGGCTTCATAGAATGAGTCTGGAATTGCTCCCTCTCTTTCTATTTCCCAGAAAAGCTTGAGGAGTATTGGTGTTAGTTCATCTTTAAGCATCTTAACAGAATTCAGCAGTGAATCCATCTTGGCCAGGGCTTTTCCTTGTTGGAAGACTTCTGATTACTTTCTCAATCTCACCAAATGTTGTTAGCCTATTATATTCATTTATATTATTTGATGCAACTTACACAGTTTGTATGTCTCTAGAAATTTGTCCATTTCTGCTAGGTTGGCCCCCTTTTTTGTCTATAGATTTTGAAAATAGTCCTTTATAATCACTTGGATTTCTTAGATGTTTGTTGTGAGGCATCTTTGATTTTATTGATTTGAATCTTGTCTCTTCTTTTCCTCATCAGTCTTGTTAGTTGTCTTTCAATTTTATTTGATATTTTGAAAGAACCAACTTTATGTCTCATTGATTGCATGTATAGTTTTTAAATCTGTATTTCATTAAATTCTGCCCTAATCTTTGCTATCTCTCTCCATCTAGCAGTTTTGAATTTGGTTTCTTCTTGCCTTTCTAGACATTTTAGTTGCATCATGATGTTATTTTTCATGAGCAGTTTCTGTTTTATTTATGTGTGCATTTGGAGTTATAAGCGTTCCTCTTAGCATTGCTTTTTCTGTATCTCACAGGCTCTGATATTATGTGTTTTCATTTTCATTGAGTTGTAAGAACTTTCTAAGTGCTTTCTTAATGTTTTCTCTGACCTATGTGTTATTCAGTTGAGTATTATTCAATCTCCATGTATTTGTTTTCTGCAATGTGTTTTGTAGTTGAGAACTAGCTTGATCCCACTGTGGTCAGTTAGGATTCAAGGAGTACTCTCAACCCATTGAATTTGCTGAGGTTCTTTGTGTGCCTATGATGTGATCAATTTTAGAGAATGTTCCTTGGGCTACTGAGAAGAATTGTGAGTGAATTGAGTCATTGTTGGGTGGAATATCCTGTAGATATCTGTTAAGTCATTTGGGTTATAATGTCATTTCATTATACTTCTTTGCTGTTCTTTCATTTGATTGACCTGCCCTTTGGAGAGAGTGGAGTATTAAAATCTCCACTGATTATTGTGTTGGGGTCTATCATGTTCCCTGAGTTCAGAAGTGTTTTCTTTTTTGTTGTTTTGTTTTGTTTATCTTCAGGACTTGAATTATATTATTGCTGACTCTCCTTGCATTAAGAGTTTATGTGGAGTGATTTGCAGTGATTCTGTTCTTTCCATTGCAAGATAGCTTACTCTTTGATTTTGATGTATTTAAAATTAACCCCTTGCTTTAAGTCTAGAGTTTTCACTATGATGTGTCTAGAAGTAGTTCTTGAATCCAGCCTATTAGGAGTCCCTTTTTTCAGGTGGATGAGATTTTTTGATTCTTGAGATTGAGGAATTTTTGTTATTATTTTGTTGATTAGATTTTCTGAGCCTTTCCTTTTGAATTCTTCTCACTCAGTTATCCCAATTTTGTGTAAATTTTATGTTTGGAATGAATCTGCTAGATCTTGGGGTTCTCTTTGCTATGTGTGAATGCTCTTTTCCTGCTTTTGACTTTTTGTTCTAATTCATTTGTTTTATCCTCAACTCCTGATAACATATTTTCTATATCATTTTTTCTATTATTTATGCTTTCCACTGTAGTTTTACAATCAGGAAATTGAACCTTTCATACTTACAATTTCTTTGTTGAAGTCAGATCTCATGGTATTAATTTAATCTTTTACTGGAACTGCTTTTATGTTCCATTCCATATAGTTTGTGGGTGACTTGTATATTCCTTGCCATTTTATCCTTGCATTCTTCTATTTGTTTTTGATATCCCCATTTATATCTTCAGCCAATTATCTCATCATTACTTATTTTGTCTTCCATCTCTTCTTCACTCTCACTAGAGTCCTTCCTTGGATTGTTGGCTTTGGATTTGATTTGTCATCTTGGATGTTCAAATATGGTAATCCTTATTGTGATTTATACATTTGGTTCAGAAAATGTCAGTCATTCAGATTGTGGTTGAAGGGACTTGTGGACGTGATTAATTGGATGAACGTCAGAATTAGCATTTGTCAACTCTCAGCTCTGGGTGGTGAAAACAGTGTCACATGTTCAGGTCAGTTCTTAGGGCTCTGTTGTTTGGGAGGTGATCAGGTGAACTGGCCTAGTTTTAGGACCAATGTGAGGTTCCCTGTTACGTTGCACACAGATGTCTAATGTCTTGGCCCAGTTTTCTGTCTGGGTAGGCAGATTCCCACTGCTAGTCGGGAGGTTGTCCCAGCCTGAGTCCTAGACTGGTGTTTATTTCCAGAGTGACTGAGAGCAGTGATCTGGACTTCTTTTAGATTCCCACTATGGATTAATGGGATGTTATCTCCAGCTGAGTCCTGAATTGGAACAGTCATGGGCCTCGGAAATTCCCACATGGCAGGGCAGGAACATAGTACCTACTATATTCCCAGACTGGCACCCAGTAAAGTCCTGAACTGGCTTCAACTTCTCATGGGGTAAGGGGCTACATTCAAGTTTCTGGCACCAGAGAGAATCTTGGAGGATTTAAGTTCCTGTAGGACATGGTGGGGAATGCATCCCCACTTTACTTTCAGACTGCGTGCACATGGTCCCTACCAAATCTTGGATTGGAACAAGCTTATGCCTTGGCAGATACGACTTCCACAGGGCTGTTCTGGAAGATCTTATGGCTTTAAGCAGATTCCCTCTCCCTTCCCCCAAGGTCATCTAGGGCTGCAGAGGATACAGGGTCCTAGTGACCAACTAATATTGGTCCTGCAGAAGGGATATGTTGGAAAGCTCTGGCTTCTTTGCTCTCTTTAAGTATGGTGCCCCTTTTCACGTGGGAGGGAGAATATCTTCACCCATGCTGATCCCCATGGGAGGGGACATTCTTGTGATTCTTTATTTGTTTATATTTTCCTTGTCTATCTGTTATGGACAAGAGTTAGGGTGATTACCTGTTGCTTCACCGGAAGCTCACAGTTGTGTTTTAAGTTAGAAATGAACAAGTGGAATAAATAGAAATAAATTTACTATTTTGTTTAGCTATGGTTTTGAGATATTGTAAACATAATAACTATTTTGATAGAACATTATTATTTTGATAGAGCATTATTATTCTCTTGTAATTTATATCATAATTTATCTGTTCGTAATCACATACATCAAATACAAAAAGGAAATTTTTAAACCTTGATACAATTTTGAACTAAAAATTTGGTTAAATTTATACTTAATTGCACATCATGATGTGCTTCCAATATACTATTAATATAGAAATAAATAAATGACAGTTTAAAAATAGCAAAAATGTGTACAAAACAGGAATCACATATTATTTTAAAGATAAATCCAGCTAATATCCATGTTTAACACAAAAAATGTACAATAAATATGTGCAGTTATATGGACTTTAAATGATTAATATATATTAAGTATAAAATTAACATATATTAAATATAATATATATTAAGTATATAAGTAAAATAAAAATATACTTTCATAAATTGGACTTAGTCTTATTGATGAAAAAATTAGTCTTGACATAAATAATAAAGATGTACTGTCTAAAAAGGAGAATCTATATAAGTTATGAAGAAATATGAAGACACAGGATACTAGAGAGACATTACTAAAGAAGAAAAATAGTGACCTCGTATATACTTCCAAGTTCTGTAAGGATCACCTCTGCTACTTTCATAGTTTTAACTAATTATTATTTTCAGTACTAGGGTTTGAAGTCCGAGCTTCAAGCTTGTAATGCAGACATTCTACCATCCAAGCCATGCCTCTACCCTGTTACAAGTATAATGAGACACAATGCAGAATAAATTAAAATATCCATTAGGGAATTAAGAATTATCTGCTTGGGAATCTCCTCTTAGGAATACATAAAACAATGAGAAAAAGTATTATTTAAACTAAGATTTATGGAGATAAAAAGATATACCTTAGATATAAGGTTGCTTCTTTTTATATAAACTTAGTAATGTGAACACAGCATTTTTTTTAATTAATCAATTTGTCAAATGAAGGGAGAATTTAGAGCCAGGCGCCGGTGGCTCACGCCTGTAATCCTAGCTACTCAGGAGGCTGAGATCTGAGGATCGAGGTTCAAAGCCAGCCTGGGCAGGAGAGACTGTGAGACTCCTATCTCCAATAAACCACCAGAAAACTGGAAGTGGCGCTGTAGCTCAAGTGGTAGAGGGCTCGCCTTGAGCTGAAGAGCTGAGGGACAGCGCCCAGGCCCAGAGTTCCAGCCCCACGACAGACAAAAAAAAAAAAGAAGGGAGGGATTTCCTAGATGTCAGTGTTGGACAAATATTTACTATGAAATAACAACTGATAAGTTACACCATTTTTTTTCTTGTTTTTTTTTTAAATTTCTTAAAGCCTTAACTTTTGAGACATAATGGATTAAAACCTTACACACATGAAAAAAGACAGACATGATCACAGTTGAACAGAATCTAGTCAGAAACATTTTAGTTTCTGCCAGCTGATGGTGAAGCTGAAGTTCTGGGAGCATGACAAGCTGCAGGGTCAAAGGAATGAGTAATTAGTACTCCTTTCCTTCTTCCTCACCTCGCCTTCAACAGAATCCACACCAACCTCCTCATAATCCTTCTCTAGGGCAGCCATGTCCTCACGGGCCTCAGAAAACTCTCCTTCCTCCATCCCCTCACCCACATACCAGTGGACAAAGGCACGCTTGGCATACATCAGGTCAAACTTGTGGTCCAGGCGAGCCCAGGCCTCAGCAATGGCTGTGGTGTTGCTCAGCATGCACACAGCACCCTGCACCTTGGCCAGGTCTCCACCAGGAACCACAGTGGGAGGCTGGTAATTATTGCTAACCTTGAAACCAGAGGTCTGTGAAGCGATCCTTATTGCATAGGCCTTTTGTCACAGGTAGTTTTTTGAGGCTTGGTAAATAAGCCTTTTTTTTTTTTTTAAAAAAAAAAAAGCACAGGGCTGGGAAGATGGCTCAGTGGTAGAGCGCTTGCCTTGCATGCCTGAGGCCCTGGGTTCGATTCCTCAGCACCACATAAGAAAAAAGCCAGAAGTAGTGCTGTGGCTCAAGTGGTAGAGTGCTAACCTTGAGCTGAAGACCTGAGGGACAGCACCCAGGCCCAGAGTTCAGGACCCATGACCGGACCCCTCCAAAAAAAAATTAAATTAAAAAAAGCACAATATTTATAAATGGTAGTAAGCAGTTGGGGTGGCAGTTGACAATTGCACAATGACCTCTACCATCTGAAAACAATACTGCTCGACAGTTTCATTACCTAAATTTGTTATATATGACCTGTTAGTTAAGGATGTACATCTCTGTTTTGCTTTGTTTGCTTTGCTTTTTAATGGGATGTGGATAAACAACTGGAGTTCTCCTACATGTAGAAGAATTTCTTAAGTAAGTACAGCCAAATGCATTTATCAAGGTCAATGATACAAGGAATTATTATACATTAACCACTCAACTTGGTAAAGAAATTCTTAAAACCTCCATTTACAGGAACATAAGTGAATAACTTTGGAATTGATTTAATATAATGTACATAAAATCTATTCATGAATATGTAGCCAATTCCACTGGGGGAAACTAAGCAGTACTTAAATTACTTAAATTAAACCATGTTCTTAGATTATGTAACTATTATGAAAGTATTTTGAAAATGGTCCATCTCTCCAAAGTCTAAGAAAGTATTTTCATTAAGGAAGACTGTTAACAATTTTCTATTAAAAAGCAAAAGACTTATGAAAGTAAATATTTTCTATAAATGTAGAAATTCAAAGGCTTACATTAACTAATTCCAACTTACTACAAATTTAGAGCAATCACAATAGACAGCAGCAATACAGACAATTTCTGTGGTATGTTTTTGTTTTGTTCTATATATTTTATATTTTAAGAAAAGAACTTGGAAATTCACTGAAGACAACTTATTAATATTCACTTCCCTTTCAAAAATATCTGTTAAGCTTTCTCCCTCCAGATGTGCATTCCAGATGGTCTATGAATTTCCCAATAAGAGTCAAAGGGTATTTTTAATACAGAGAAGTCAGCTTTTTTTCTTAAAATCCAGTGGTTTTGCATCTCTTACACATGTAGTAAGGAGAAGAGACATTCTGTCTTTCTGGGACCTTCTATCCACTCTCACCTATAGACAAAAGAGATCAAGTCCACACATAATTTAAGCATTTTATACCAATGTTAAACAAATGAATACATTAAGACAGAAGAATTCAAATTTCTTACAGTTATCTCTAGTTATTCTGGACCTAAAAGTAACAAAACTTTTGAGAGAGAAAAATCTAGGAAACTGAAATCATAAAATGTCCATTTCGAAAGTTTTAACAAAAGATGATTCCAATGATTGAATTTCAATATTTACCCTCTGTATCTTTTTCTCTTTGCAAATTTTACAAAGAAAATGAAATTAGGCATAATAATTAAGAAATATTTGAAGAAAAGTTTCTAAACATTTTATGTGCTATCATCTACTCTGGATTCAGACATGTTAATAATAATGATATTTTATACAAATCTTCAAGTTTATTTATTCCTATTCAATAATCAATTCTTTTATCTTTTCAGATCATCATCTTCTGCTATAATAGAAATATATATGTACTCTTTGGTGCCTATGTTGAAGATCCTTTTCAACAGACTTGTACTCTTCACCCTATAAGTACAATGGGTTTATTTGAATTTCTTATTTGAATATGTCCCTATGCAACTTCTTCCTTAGGAAATATTTCCATATGGTGATAGTTGGAATACATACTCTTCTGTAGTGACCAATAATTTGCAATTGATCCTTGGTACCACTATCAATATTCCCTTTATATTATCCTGTCCTTTTATCACTCTAACCCCATCTCCATAGCTTTCTAGCATAGACAATGGTATAGAATTAGCATAATTATTTGTATTGATAGAAGGAACCACATGACCATTTGAAAAACATATCTAAAATAAATGAGACACTAGCATATTCTACTAAATAGATGAAAACAGATATCAGTGAAAAGTTAAACTATTACAGATACTGTGCTAAATAAAAATTTGTGCATTACATTTAATTAAACCCCAAAACTTTAAATTAGGTTTAATTTCAGACATTTTATTTAACGCTACACACCTCTCCTGACAATAAAGTCCACTATAAACATTATTGTGCAACTTAGATAATTGAATCAATAATTTTATACACTTTATATATAATTCTATGCACTTTATATTTAAAAACTATGATTTTAATAGTCATAAAATTTTAAAGGTAAAGATACAAAAATAAAATTTTAAATTAAGTGATGAGTTTGTAAATTTCTTTGAATAATGCTTCTGTCACTTCTGTGTCTAGATAACAATTCTGTGCTCATTTATGTTTGAGTAGATGTAGATAAAAGAAAATAAAGAGACTATGTTCTAAGTTATAAGGTCAGAGAGTTTATTATATAAATCAATCAACCAATCAACAAGTATTGACTTCTAAAATGGAAGAGAGAAAACACATAAAAGATGACCTTTTAGTAAATTTCACACTTATTCTAAAATAAATACTTTTTATAGACATGAATCTTATTGCCTCAAGTAATCAAGTGTCATATATTTTAGCCTAGGTTATTTTTATAGTTTTAGAAATGACTCACAATCAGATCAATGGATTAATTAAATCTGAGTGGGAACACTATATATTACAACAGAATGTGAGAAAATACTTCACCAAGGGAGAGACATAATCAGATATGAGTGAAATGGGAGACAGTGAGATTGGTGAGATAAGTTGAGGCCTAAAAGTGATAGACTAGAAAAGGCATACATGCCTCATAAACGGATAAACCTATGAGAAATGTTTCTTAAAAGTGGCATCAGAATACATTAGAGTACTCTTTATAAATGTATATAGTTCTATCAAATATTTTTTAATAAATTTTTAATATCACATAACTACTGGAAGATTGATCAGAAGCCTAAGAAGTTTTTCAAACAGAAGTATGGCAGAAAAGCAGAAGAAACCAAAAAAGAAAGAAAGAGAACTATTATCAGAGCCAAAAACAACATAAAATACGTGAAATATTTAAGTCCTTACTTAAAGTCTATAAATCATTACTGGACATATGGATTTTTTACTAGCTCTTCTTTATCAATATCCTTAAAGTACATAACTTGAAACAAACACATTTTGGAAAAACTCAAGTATTTCCCTAAAAAGATACTTATAAACAAAACGCTATATTAAATAAAATATTATACATATCATTGGTGCAATGGGTTCACCTCTATCCCTATTTAAACGATTTGTTTTTTCCCTTCCCCTCCACAAATTATACCAACATCAAATACAGTGAAAACAGGGGTTATACCATGGGGGAGGGACATACAAAACAAAAAAGAAATGTCTTATAAATATGTTAGACACAATAGCAAGAAAGAAAAAAAAAACATTTTGGGTTCATTTTGCTTAACATCAACTTGTCTGATCTTTTCTGCTTGTCTCAGACTTACGCTATTTTATTGCAAATAAGGGAAACTATGGAACCCTATGTTTGGCGCCGGTTGTGGGGGGAGATGGGAAGGGATGGGAAGGGGAAACAAAGGAAAAGGCAACAATGCTTGATAAGAAATGCATTCGTTACCTTGCCCATGTAATTTTAACCCCTCTGTATGATATTTTCACAATAAAAAAGATAAGAAAGAAAGGAAGGAAGGAAGGAAGGGAAAGAGAGAGAAAGAGAGAAAGAGAGAAAGAGAGAAAGAAAGAAAGAAAGAAAGAAGAAAGAGAGAGAAAGAGCTCTGCTGCTTGAGCCACAGCACCACTTCCGGTTTCCTACTGGTTTATTGGAGATAGGAGCCTCATGGACTTTCCTGTCCTGGCTGGCTTTAACCCAGCTTCAAATAATACTATTTGAAGATGATCTTTTGGAGAAACTTGATTTGATAAAATTTCAATTTGATTTAAAAAATTGTATATTTAGTATTTTTTTCTGACTAGGTCATTTAGATTTCTCATTTTAAGGAATCAAGGAGGGACAGGTAAGTCTTCATTATTTCAACATTCAATATTTTGAACATGTAAAACAAAATTAAATTCTGGAGCAATGACATTAGTAAAACAAAATAAACTACATTTTATCATTTCACATTCAATTTTTTTTTAATCCTGGAAAAAGCAAGCCTAATGATAAGTGGAACAAATAACTACTAAAAGTATTCTTTTGATTGTCACAGAAAATATACATACAACTCCTTTAGCTTAGATGGAGGTCAAGTTAAAACTTCTAGAACCAAACAAAAGACTTCCTATGTACAAAAAGTTTTTCAGCAAATAAATTATATTCTTTGTGTTTAAATATGAAATTATGCTTTCTTCTCTTTTCTACAATAATGCAGAAGTATATACAGAGAATTATTCTGTTGGGATGTGAAGGGTAAACAAAGGAGGAGGCTGCAATGCTTGGTAAGAAATGTACGCATTATCCTGCCCATGTAATTGTAACCCCTCTGTACAGTATGTTCACAAACAAAATAAAATAAAATTAAAAAATATATATATTACATGAGGTGTCTAACATTAATATAAAAGTCTTTGTTAAAATAAGTTTCTCCAACTATTAGCTAATTTAAAATATTCTTGCCATATTGATGTTACCTTTGTATCTAATATATAATATAACAAATTATGTTGTTCAATAGTTTTGATGTATTAAATGCATTTTTCTTATGGAATGTTTTAAACTTATGAAGGATGTTGAGAATGAGTCCTTCATAAGTTGAATTGCATATGTATTTGTCTCCTAGTATAAATTATATTTCACATTGACTAGCTAAGCCACTACAGTTTCAAATGATTTCCAGGACTGAAAAGATGGCTGACAGGG